AGTGATATCCATACAAAGTTTCACACTGCTCTTGACCAAAGGTTAATCAATGTCAGAAGAAAAACTCATTTTGACTACCAAAGCTTTGGATCAGCCTTGATACGCTGCAAAGGAAAGACACCCAGCAGAGGCCTGTCTCAGCTCCTCTGCCTTCAGAGCCAATGTATGAAGGCTTCTTTTACTGCCAGCATGGGGAAGGAAGGAAGCCTTGGAGAAGGCAGTTCTACACACACCAGGAAATGAAGATCCAAGCACTGCTGCCTTCCAGGGCAGAACTGTCTCTCTTTCAGCACTGCACGTGGCTTATGGAGGGGAAAGCCCCCAAGCCCATCAGCGTCCTTCAGCACTATCTCCAGCACTGCTATCTCCAGCACCCACTGTTCTTGTCTTACCCATCTCCAGTAGCATCAAGAGCATGATGCTGCCAGCCTGCATTCCCATTTGCTGATGGGTACATCAGTGGGAAACTGCCACATATCAGGTATGGGTTGGTTCAAGAAAGTGAATGGATTCCTCTTTGGTTATTTCCTTGGGGTTTTCACATCCCTGTAAAAAAAAAAGAAAGAAAAAAAAAATCCACTTTTCGTTAAAAGAGTCGTTTCAGTCTGATGGTGAAACTGATACTACAGAAATACATATTCTTGTGTGCTGCCTTCCTGCTCCGTAATGGCTCTTGCATTAGGGACTGGGGGTGGGGAGCTGTTGTCCATTTACTTGAGCAAAGATTGCTATTGAATGAAGCCTTTAATGGGGTGTTTATGCTCCCACTCAGCTAAGAGCTCCACTTGTGGCAGAGTAGTGTTTCCCTCCACCTTGACAGCTATTAGAGAATCGATACAGGTAATCCCTCGGCTGGCTGTCAGCACTCTCCAGCTGTGGGGCTACCCTGGCTACTGCCATGGGCTCACTTGTGGGAAAGCAAAACTCTGGAGAGCAGCCTGCCACCACATCTCCACCACCACTGTGCTGGATCAGTGCCCCCAAACCATGCAAGGCCAAGAGGGAATGTCACCGACTTCACCTGGGTTAAGAAAAGGATGGACTTGACCATTTCTCCCTAAGAAGAAGGGGCTCCACAGACTGATTTCACTTCAGGGATTACCTGTGAATTGCATTTTTGGCCAGTAGAACCCAAGAATTCATCCTTTTCCCCTTCTTTGATAGACAAAGGACATTTTCTCTGCTACTGCATTTCTATTAATGCCCAAGGTGTCTCCTACTGGCATTCTCACACTAAGGCATGCAACAGTGCTCTCTACTAAATTGCTGGGCTAACCAGAAGTCAGTCCTGTGAATTTAAGCCTTGTTTGTCATTGCTGCAATGCAGCTAAGCTGTGATTTCCAGAACAATCCCTACAGCAAGAGCTGCTGCAGAATGCCCTGCTGGGGATGGAGATGGAACAGAGCTGCTTGAGTTCTGCTGTAGGAGAGGCAGAGATGCCGTGATACTCTCTTCTGTCCCACATACCCCCCAGCTGCCAACACCCCACCCCTTGGTGGGACTTGGCTTTTCAGAAAAAGTGGCATTCACTGGTGGACATTAAGCCTTTTTAAAACTTGAGTTAAACACCATAAAAACAGAGCCAGCTGCTGATCCCACTGAAGATCTGGATGTATTTTACATGAGGTCAGAAAAGAAGGAAAGCAGAGAGCAAATCCCACATCTCCTGATACCCTTCATATGCCCAAGGCCCTTACACTATGTACATTAGGGAAAGCCAGAACAGAGAAGATACAATGGGATATGTATGCATGAGGAAAGAAGGGCAAATTAATGTGAATGTGTCCATAAGGGTGAAACAAACACCAAAGCTTGCTGCAGAGGCATGTAGGAGACTGGGGACCCTGAGAAATGGCTTTCTGAAGGAAGGGACAGCCAGTCAGGGCTTCCCTGGTGAATGATCTCTCTTGTTTAATGGACAGTTGGGCACTAATCAATAGATGTGTTTGTGGCATTATCTTCAACTCACTAAGCTCCTTGCTTTACCCTTCCCTCAGTGGTTAACCACCTCCCTCTTCCTCGAATCCCAGGGAGTACAGCAGGGACAGGGGTTGGGGTGGCAGAGGGATGGGGACCAGGTGTTTGAAGAGCTGGGAGATGCAGGAGATGCAGGGAGATGCTGGAGATGCAGGGAGATGCTGGAGGCAGCAGATGTCAGTGGCCAGACCTTTTGTTCCCTCTAACTCCCCAGCCTGAGCTCTGGGACCACCCTTTTGTTTTTGTCTCGCCATTGTCATTCACTAAGGAGGGGCTTTTCAGGAGTTAGCCCCACAGAGGCTCATCTGTCTCCCCAGCACCGAAATCAAACAGCAACTGCCCTCACCCTCTGGTTTCTATTTAGACCACTCTCCACATTTAAAAAACCCTGACACAGTTAATGCAAAGAATTGAAAAGTCAGCTAGTGTCTTGCAGGACTGGTTTGTCCCAACAGACTTGACCTGCTGCTCCCCTTGGCAGCACCATGTTTAGTCCTAGTTAGGGGAAAGAAGAGCCAGGGTGCACAGCCAGGTAGTTTCTATAATCCTTTGCCTTGGAAAATGCAGTGATAACTGAGCCCTCAGCCAGGGAAGCCAAGCTACAGCCAGTTTAAGCAAAACTGAGTGAGTAATATGGGTACCTATTTCACTTAGTGCGTTACTACAGTCACTGTCATGGAAAATAAATGGCCCATAGTTGATACTAAGAAATGCGAGAGGTGGATCTAGTACAGCCTGCAGAAAGCTGCAGGGATAGCCTGCTTTCTGCATCCTCAGCTCAGAAATGACCAGCAGGCACCATTACTGAGTATCATGGTGTCTGCTCAGGAGGAACCTACAGCTGGGGCTTCCCAGCGAAAGGACTGAGCCCTTACAGTTTACTTGGTCACAAATATTCTCCCTTTAGTGGAACTTGCAAGGCAGGCTCCTTAATGCACATGGCCTCCTGTGCTGTGCAGTCGTCCTAGGAACATGAATGATGGGAAAGCGCAGTGTGCGCACACACCCCACCCCCTCTATTTTCTGTTTGTGAGTAAATGCCTGAAACCCTGCTCCTGGCTGAGCTGCTCATTCATGAGGCCGCTGCCAGCAGGGCCATAGAAGTGCAAGCAAATGTGCAAATCCCCGGAGGAAAACCTCAGTTTGTGGGCACACTCCGGGTTCGTGCACACCACAGGAGCATTCCTTAATCTAAATCTAAACTCTCCTAAACCCTGCTCAGCAAGGGCAGCGATATGTTTTCACTGACAATCACTGCATTTTCCTCGCAGGAGACTAAAATCTGCTCCGGCTGGCAGGAGAGCTCAGCGTGCCCTTCCTCCCGCTTCCTGCTGCTAAATTTCTCCCCACCCCGCTGTGAAGTGTGCTGCTGGCCAAGTAGCAGCCCCAGGGCCCCGCAGCACAGCTGGGACTCGCTATTGAGAAGGGAGAGGATGGTGCTATAGGGTAGTTAAATGCTACAGGGTAGTTGAATGCCTTTTTTAGTGCTCAATCCGGATCCATCATCTTGCTTGCAAGTGGGAGTGAACTCAATCCAGAGCTGAATGGCTTCAGCTTCCATGAACTATTGGAACACTTAAGGCCCAATCCATCAAGACACTGGGTGCCTTTGACTTCTAATGCAGTCAGCTGCTACACAGCGGGACAAGGGCTATAATTCCCACTAGGAGACAGTTTGACTCTGTAATGACTTACAAATGATGCATAAAACACCCTTCATCCCTTTGCTACTATCTCAAATACACAACTCCAATACATCTGGCAGGAAACAACCTATAGCCCAATGACGTATGCTATAGCTTCCAATAATTTATTTTCAACTTTTGCATAAAGGTAATTGTAATAATCTTACTTAGCATCAAAATTTATATATACAGGTTTACTGTGCAAGATAACCAGTACCTTCAATCACATGTACAAGCAAAACCACATACTCTTTTTTTACAGGCAACTCATCAAATACTGAAGAAGGGTACTAATATTCTAGTACAAGATATCTGGAGTTCTTCAAGCAGAAGTAAATGCACTACAGAAGATACACCACTTAAATAACCCTCATTCACAAGAAACAAGGAAATTACCTGCTTGGGAAGCTAACACTGCAATTCATAGCACCTTGAAGCCATTCCTTGTGCTCAGTATTTTACTTACAAGTAGGTGGTTCTGTAAATATTTTAATATTTTTACCAGGAAAACAATGAGGGCAGAGAAAGTTAAGTTACAATAAAAACTGCATAAGAAAGAGTGCAAATCAACATTATCTACACAGTACAATTAAATGCGCAGGTAACTTTTTTCCTAGTTCTATGCTGTATTCAAAGAGGTTTTTAAGGTTGGCACAAAATAAAATTTCTCTCTTATGTGCAAAGTCCTTGTTAAATCCTAGCAGATCTAGGATATTAAAAGGGAATCTCATTATCTCAGTAACATCAAGCTACCTGTGCTAATCAACCAACTCCAGCAAGGGCTTCCATTATCCCCCCTGGATGACACACAAAGTCCCACTGACACTGGGAGCCCCTCTTGAATGTACAGCCCCCTGCGAATTATGCTGGCCCACTCAGTGATAAAGTAGACTTATGTGCTAATTACAGCACGCTCTATACTCAGTGATGCTTCCAGCTTTTTGCTAAGCCTCCGTCAAGTTGATATTTCACATTGCCAGGGAATGCTATTTTGTTAAAGATTTTTAACAAAGGCCCACGTGGGCCCAGAATGAAACATTTCTATGAGGCCACTCAACTGCTTATGACCCACCTGAGCACTCATTGGTGGTTGGGACTATCTTCACATTTGGTCCTCTCATCTGTGAGAAGGCAAAGCCAACCTGCAATATCTCTGCTAACTGGCAGCTACTCATCACACCCTGCTCCTCTCCCTCATGGCCAATCAGCATCCTCTAGAAGAGGGGGTCTCAATGCCCTGGAGCTCTCAGTGTCCAGCAGCTGAATGAAGGAATTAAATACCCCTAACGCTGGTGTAGTAGTCAGTATCTTTGAAGCAGTTCACATTTAAATAGAGCAACATAAAAGACTTGCAGGTTAAGGTGAAGTAGACCCCATACTTGGTCATGCATCCTAACAAAACAAAGAGGTTAAATTGGCTTTGGGAAATGCACTTGTTAAAATCATCCCTCACACAAGTTTTGGTATGCATTGCACCAGGCAGTCCACAGATGTGGTACATTAGAGACATGGAAACACTCTTCACAGTGGTATTTGTGCACAAAAGGTTCGTGGGAGGTGAAATTCCTCCTCTCTGTGTTTCTCTGTTGAGAAAATTAATGTATGGGAGAAGGGGAAGGTGGGGTAGCATATCTTGGATTTTACCCCAGTCCAGGGTGGCATCAGTGCACCCAGGTGAGAAACTATGCCCAGGGTCCAGAGGACTGAATGTACCCAAAGAGTCACTATGAGGGTAAGTGTCACCTCCTGCGATGTGCACAAAACTATGAACAAACACATACACATATAGACAGATACACACATAAGCTGGCCCAAGACATGTCCACAGGGTTCTTGACTAATGAGCATCATGCACCTTCAGGTGGACTTGGTAATCCTCCTGCCCCAGGAAGTGCACGCCGCACACGGAGCAAGTGCACTCCTCCTTGCTGTGCATGCGCCTCACATGGCTGTCGTGGGCTGCGTGTGAGGCAAAGACTTTGCCGCAGTACTTGCACTTGAAGGGCTTCTCTCCTGAGTGCTGGCGGATGTGAGTGCGCAGGATGCTGGACGCCGTGAATGCCTGAAAAGGTAAGGAGTTGAAAGTAATCCATTTTCACATACGTATTTCCCAGGTTCAGCTAATTCAGGCCCATCAGAAGAACTGTACTCTGAAATTAAGTCCACAAATAACATTCTCAGATAACTTAAGGTAAAAAACCCAACCTCACAGCAACAAGGAACCAGAAGCCAACAGCTATCGCTATATGGATGTGGCTGAGTCCATGGAATTAGATGAATCTCAGAGAAAGATTTCTGACCAGATACCAATAAGTATCTTCTACATGTCAAGGGGTGAGAAGTCAATACAGTTCTAATTAGCTTTGCAGCTCCGTTATGTTTGGGGAAAATAATGCAGCTTTTCCTTCCAGTTTTTATTTTCAAAGTCAGATCTGTATTCACATACTCTGGGCACCTGGGGATTCAGGTGCCAGAATTCATTCATGCAATTCAGCATCCATCTTTTGAGGTTTCATTTTCCCCACTCCATCATACTCTGCTCTTCCTTCACTCAGACCTTCCAGCCTGGTTCCCCACACACACCTGAGGAGCAAAGTGTGCACAACTACACTCTGTTCCCCTTGTAAAGGCTCATTTTCTATCTGGGGAGAAAACCCTCTCACCAAGACTGGAGCAGGAATCCTGCAAAGTTTTGAGTGTTTCCCCCTGTTTTCCTCCAAGAGAGACACTTTCAGGCCCCTCACTATTTGCAGACCACACAAAATAAATCCTCTTTAGTACCATTATGTTGCTGAACCATCACAAGTTTTCACAGCATAAAACAATACATGTCAGATATTGTTTCACTAAGAACCTTAGAGCTCAAACAGATGTGTGATTCCTATATAAAAGTCCCTGAAGGTGTATATTGAGAGGGCCAAAGTATGCTTAAGGGCCAGAATGGTGATATTTGCCTCAGACTTTTGCTTTAATCACAATGTCACCCAGGTAATGAGTAATGAGCCCAGGAAAGCAAAGCAGTGCTGGAGTACAGCCATCATTAGAGGTAAAAGAGGCAAAGAGGAACCATGACAGCAATAGGAGGCACAGATGAGGATGCTTTAAAATAGCGCCTGGCTTTCCAGTCACAGAAATGCTGGCTATGTCCCAGGATAGTTGCAGCATCCTGCAGCCGTAGGGCTAAAGGTTTAACTTGATCCAATATGCAACAGTCTACCAAAATGGCTGCACGCTGGTCAAGGGTCCCATGTGTCTTAAGGGATCTGTTCAGAGAGCAGTCTGTAAAGCTTTGCCACCTCTCCCTGTGATCAGAAGATTAAAGGATGACATTTCATCTTAAACTCTGCCTACAAGTGTTTAGGGTGTCTGGGAGAGAAAGAAATGCAATAGCTAAAGGGATCTTCTTTAAGTACAGGACACTTCTGCTCTGTGTTAGTCCAGCCAGTCATTAACAAAACTTCTCTTTCTCCAAGATCAGGAGGACCTTGCTACATGACAACAGTGCTTCTGCATTGCATGGACACTCCCATAGCACCTGGAGCCCTATCTATTTTCACCCTCAGCAGCATGTATGTTCATCCACCTTCTGTCTGTTGGGAAAGCTGTCACTTCTCACACTGGAAGAGCTCATCTGAATCATCCCTGCTGTGAGCATCACAGATAGGCACATTTTTGATCAGTGCTTTATGACTTTACTCATGTTCTTTTTTAATGAAACCTCCATGTCCAGTTGCACATCAATGGCCCTGTTACTTCAAGCATACGCAGTTGTATCATGCAGGTTCAGCTTATGGGGCAAATCTATTCACTGCACTCCAGAAACAATGCCAGTAATATCAAAACCTACCTATCTGATGAGAAAGGGGAATACTGCATCTATCTGTATGCCTTGGATGGCAATCGAAATGCTCTCAAGCTTTCCTACATCCTTTCCCACAGCAATTCTCTCAGCTAGAATGAAACACAAATTCCACAACAGAAGGAGACCAGAACATGTTTCTTCAGTCTGAGCCAGCTCTGTCACTTCAGCTCACAACTGTGCCCAGAATATAGTCAACTTATCTGGTTGTCAACTTAAATAGAAGACATTTTCTTGAAAGAAAACAGAAAATAAGCAGAAAAATAACCTGTAAAAAATGAAATTGAGCATGGAAAGAGTCACCTCCCTGCAGGTCCAGTGTGTTGCTAAGCATGGCAGAGGACAGGGGGATGCAGCAGAGCACAGATGGGGCTTTGCCTTACCTTGTTGCAGTACACACATTTGTAGGGGCGTTCCCCAGAGTGAACCCTCATGTGTTTGCTCAGGCTGGAGGACTGAGAAAAGCTCTTTCCACACTCTGAGCACTGGGAAAGAAAAAATGGATAATGTTAAAAAGAAGCACAAAACAGCATAGTTCAAAAGAAAAAATAGGTATATAGAGTATGTGCATGTATTTTCCTATGTATTTTTATATGTATTTATCTATATACATATATCCATGTATATGGATGTACCCATATACACACACTAGTAATTTAAGCAGTAACAATTTCAAATACAGTCAGAATTTTTATCTGGTTCTAAGAACTTTTTTTTTTTAAAAAAAAAGAAAAAAACATTCAAAATGTCAAAGCTTTTTTGTGCTATTAAAATGGTTTCATTTAAAATCGTGCTTCAGAACACAAGACAATACTGACTTACAGTAATCAAAATCAAGCATTTATGTAAAATCACTTTCTTCAGAATGTAAATCAAGCTCCAGCTGTTACTTTTAATTTTAAACTAAAAATACTAAAGTAATCTTATAATAAATCTTAGAACTAGATCTTAAAACAATACCATTTATTTTTCAGAAATGGGGAGTCGGTCACACACTTAAGCCCACAGCTTGACCTGTCAGAAGTGCCTCTTGGCAGGAGTGAAACAAGTAGCATCCTCAAGCTGCTGTGCAGCAGCCAGCAGGACAAAACCAATTCACAAGAGTCACTTGAGAGACTTGCATTGATTCAGTGCAATTTATAAGAGCCCCAAACCAATTTCTCCCTACAATAATTGGAAAGAAATTATCTTTCAGAAGTTCAAAGTAAACTAAGCTATGACTGATCTTGAAAGAAGGTGCTTATTTTTTACTGACATTTTCCATCTCTGCTTTTTTTGAGTTGATCATTCTCATATAGATGTGATATATTCAGAGTAAGTTTCATCTTACTGCTGTTCTAAAGTATTTATTTCATATGCATTTCACAACAAATGCTCTAGGAAATGAAATTAATAAGAATTAGATGGTATTCAATGCCTCATGTTTAATAGAATATTTTTCACCTGTAACTAAATCATTCTGATGTTCTGACATTGTAATATTGTTGATTTAGTTGGAAAAAGTTTTCCCTGAAAAGTTTACATTACTGCAAGATTATCTATAAAATAGGTATTTTGAGGATTTTTTCAGGCCCATTTCAAGCACTGGAACTTGATGTTCCTAGGCCTTCAGGAAGTCTGGTTTTCCACCCCCAGTGATCATAGAGAAAACTGATGCTATAGAGAGGTGTTTGGCACAGATGAGGAAAGTATCTCAGCAATTATTTGTTTCCATAAATTGAAAATCTGCTCTCCATTGACTGTAAACCTTTTAGCTCCTGTTTTGTTTAACAGACACAGAAGTCTGTTGGTTCTCAGGCTGAACGGAGGGAATGAGGGATAAGAGACATCATCTCCTCAGATCCAGGACAAGTGGAGTACCTTCAAACATAAGTTAACACCACACCATGTCAGAAAAGTAGCAAAACCCACAGGCAAACATCCAAAGAGCTCAAAAGAAATAGTTTCTTTTAAAGGTCTCGCTGAGACTGTGGGGTTTATTTTCCCAATGTAAATCCATCAAATTTCTTTAACTAAGCTCTGCTGCACAGGATAAACTCCTCCTGTACAGGCAAAGTGGTCCTTCCAGAGAGCTGCCAGGGCAACTGGAGGAGGGAGACCACCAGCATCCTACCCTCAGCCAAAAGACTCCGTAATTAGTCCCCTCAAAAGAGCCAGTACCTGCGGAGTGACCCAGGGGCAGGCTCACCTTGTGAGGTCGATGTCTTTCATGAACGTGGAGAACATGGATCCTCAGCCTGTCTCTTTTTTCAAAGGATCGGTTGCAGAGGTTACAAGGAAATTTGCGGTCCCCCTGGTCCACACAGCGGGTGTACTTGAGGTGCTTGTCCCGGTAGTACTTGTAGGCAAAAACCTTGCCGCAGCGGTCACACTTAAAGCTTTCCCCGGCTTCTGTACGGGAGAAGGGAAAGGGCCACCTCGGAGTTACATCGCAGCGCCAGGGGCTCCTTTCAAACCTGCTGCATTCCCAGAGCTGGTACCGAGTTGGGAATTATAAGTCCCAATTTAAAATTCCCAACTTATTGGGAGGACATTAAGGGTAAATGGATTCTGGCAAAACCATTAACAAAATACCCATCGGTTCTCACTGCTCCACTTGCCTATTACCTTTCTAACGGGGGGGAGTAAACTGCAGCCCACAGCCTGGTAAAATCACCGGGTTTAGCTACTGACTACAGCAAGGACAGGGGCTCATCCTTGGTTCTCCCAAAACAGGGAGAGAATGTGAAAAAACAACTCAAAGTCGCATGCAAAAGTATCTCCCCACACAGAAACACTGCCAGGTATCTCATACTAACATTGTCCGTAAATTTCAGGTCCTGTCCTCAAAAGAAAAATAAACTTGCACGGTTTTTCTAGATGGTTTTTAAAAAGCTGCCGGACAAAACCACATTTATTTGGTTTTCTTTTGTATTTAACACTGTTCTCAACCACTGAATTTGGAACAACAGTGACTGGATATTTTTCAAACGCTCACGCATCCTTTTCTGCCGTTAACAAAAGCAGCTTTGGCTTAAGCCTTAAAATGAAACGAACGATTTACCTGAACCAGGCACCTGAAGACAACATTGCTAAATTCCCGTGCCAGTCTAGTTCTCTGCCTCACTGGGGCACCTCTCCCACTCCAGCCTGCCCTGCGCTGGCATACACCCGTTTTCCCCGTACATAAGCTTTGCTTATAAGAAGGACATTTATTTTTTTTTCGCATTATAAACAGTTATTCCGGGAATAAGCGTGTTTTGACATTTGATCTGCAAGCCATACCGGCATTATTGGATCTCAACGACTTCTGCCTGCCACATTTACTGAGTGTTAATTGCACGAAAAACATAATAAAAGCAGGCATGTGCGATCATAAGATAAAACAGGACCAAAACCAGAATGCCGCTTAAAAGTCCCTCTCGTCTCAAAACGCGTGCCCCCTTCCCTTACGCGGAGCCGAGGGCGGCCCAGCCCCGCACCACCAGGTGTTTTACAGCCGTCGGGCGAACAATTTCAGATCCCCAAGGAAACGCGAACGAGGAGAATTTTGCACCGAGCTGGCAGAAGCCGTCGGTGCGGTCCCCCGTGCCGAGAGGAAGCTGCTGCTCCGGGATACTGGAGTTGCAGGGAAGAGAAGGGGCAGGCAGGCCCGGGCACCCTGACACTGGCTCACCGCAAGGACTGGGGAGCGTTCGAAGTAAAACATAGATGGAAAAAGGTGGTGTCCGAGTTCCTTTACCTCCCTTCGTGCGAGCCTACCCCCGGCCAGACGCAGGACCATGGGCACGAGGGGCTGGCAGGCTCACCTTCGGGGTCGTCCGGATGCTTCTTCCGCTCCTCCCCGTCCTTCAGGCTGATCGGGATGCCCAGGAACTGCACGTAGCAATCTCCGTACCACACCAGGAGCTCCTGCTTCGGCAAGATTTCCTTGCAGCTCTCGTAGAATATTTGCCCCTCGCACTGGATAGCTGTCAAGTTCTGCTCCTCGGGGTACCTGGCACAGTTCACCAGAGACATCCAGTTGCCAGAGGCACCTTTCCCGTCTATGAAGTGGCTCAGGCGATCGCATTCAAAGATCTGGAGAGCAGGGAGAACCCGATCAAGTTTGACCGATCCTTCCTTCCCGCACATGTCCCGCTCGCACCGATCCACCCCCCGCACCGGGCCGAGCCCCTCTCGCAGGCTAAGGGAGTGGGGCGGCCGAGCCCAGAGGTGCCTCCACTACCTCCCACATCAGTGAGTTGTCGTCGTAAATCTTGATCTCGCTGATGCTGACCGCTTTGCCTTGGAAAGGGCCGAAGCGGACTCCTTTGGGGATGGGGTCTGTGCAGAAGACTCCGACCTGAGACAAGTCCCCGTACTCCACCTGCAGCACCGAGAGCCCTGCGGGGAACAGGGCGCGCTGAGCGCGGCTTGGCCACTGCTGGGCGCGGAGCGGGGCGCTGGCAGCGCCGGGCCCCTACCTTCCGGCATCTGCAGCGAGTCCCTGTTGAGCAGCGGGGCGCAGGAGAACTGCGCAGCACCTCCAGAGAAGGAGTCCGCAGCACCTGCAGAAGAGGGACCCCTTCTTCAGCCGGCAGTGCAGCTGCAGAGGGGCAGGGGGAGCGGGTCCTGCTGGGCCCGACGGCGTCCGAAGCCCGAATCACTCCCGTTTTTTCCCGGCATGGGCTCGTAATGCAAGAAAACTACGGGGAAAGGAAGCCCGAGGTGCCCTCGGCGATGTCCGGTGGGCATGGCTCCGGCGGGACCACCCGCACCCCACTCTGGGGACTGTCCCCAGACCCCACCGTACACCCGGCCTCAAGGAACGACCTTCCGCCCTGTTGCTCCTCGGTGGCTCTCTTGCGCAGGCAGCCCCTTGCGCACAAGCAGGAGACCCCCTTACCCGTGCTGGCAGGGGGCAACCGGGGCCCCGAGATGGCGTGGATGCTCCCGGCCAGCTGACTGCTCCGGAGCGCCCCGTACAGCACCGTGTTGAGCTCCTCCTCGGTGAAGTGGTACCTGTGGTTCTGTCCCTCCGGCGCTCCGGCCTCCGGGCTGCGGGCAGCCTTGTGCGGGGCGCTCAAATAGAGCTGTGCCGGAGAGCCAAGGGCCCCTGCCCCGACGAGCGAGTCTTCCTTGGGAGAGAAGGGGTCCTGCGGCTTGGCGTAGTGGGGCAAAGGGAGACCGGGAAAGGGCTCTGCGGGCAGGGGGGGCGGCTGGCTCAGAAAAGTGGGGGCCCTGCTGAAGCTGTACTGGGGCAAAGGCGGGGAGGCGGGGAGCATCCCACCCAGGGATTTTAGGGGCTGGAAGAAGTCGGGGGCCGCTTCGAAGTACTGGGCGGGAGGGTGGAAAGGGAGGTAGTAGGCAGTCCCGAGCTCGTCTCTGTAGTCTCCGGGGACAAACTCGCCCGCCAGGTACAGAGCCATGTCGGGGCGGGGCGGGAAGGGAAGAAGGTAGGGAGCGAGCTGTCGGGAAGCGGAGAGGCAGACACCCGGGTGTGTCTGGGGGTGCCGCTGCGGGGTGGGATAGAGGCGCAGGAGCAGCCGATCGGTACTGTCCGCCGCCCGGCGCCGTCGGGGAGAGTGGGCTGACCCCGCGGCTATATGCGCCGGGGAGGGAGGATAAGGGGGGGCAGGCGCAGACGGCCCGCCCCGGGGGTCGCGCAGCCCTGGGAGTGGGCGAGGGGGGCTGCCCAGACCGGAGGCCCCTACTCCGGGGCGGAGTCGCGGCTTTTGCCGGAGCGGCCTGGCCGCCCCTCTCTACGTCGAGGCCAGCGGTGTCGGAGGGACAGGGGGGGGATACCCAACCTCCTGGACCCACCTCCCCTGCCGCCTGCTCTGCCCCCTGCCTCTCCAAGCCCAACCGCTGGACCCGGCCGGAGGGCCGGTGGCTCTGCCGCTTCCCAGACTAGGAGGCCGGTGTGCCGGAACGATGTTCTCTACGGATAAGCACCTACTGCTGTGGGTGAGCACCAGGCCCGGGGGCCGTCGTGCTCCCCAGCCGGACCCACGGCTCCCGCGCACTGTCTCGGGGGTTCCAGGCGTAGGGTTTGGATACAGAGAATCAAAACTCATCTCCAAAATTCCAGTGATACAGCAGCACACCCTCAGCCACTGTAGGTTTCACAGGCATTGCTGAGGTGATTTTAGTTTACCTTGGGGCTGTCTGTTGGGTGCCTGGCAGGACATTGGGCTGTTGCTGGGGTTTTCCTGGTTCCATAACCAGGCCTACGCCAGGACCTGCTCAGAATGGGGCCAGAGGAAGACATCTGGCCCTTGCCCCCTGCAGAGGTGCTGGGTGAACCCCTTCTGCAGGGTTTCATCCTAGGTTTTGTGGGTTTCTCCTTCTTCTAATCTCCCCTTCCTCCCACATGACTACATGCTACAACTGCTATAACAAGGTTACCTGGAAGGGGCTGCAGGATTCAAGGGGGCCAGGTGTGCACCTTGTCATTGGAGGATGTCATCCCTGCTGGTGCAGGGAGATGGAGAAATCTTCAGTCTAGGGCAAAACCCCATGGAGGGTGGGTTACTGCAGAGCCCCTGCCTGGGGGACACTGAACACGCAGGCATGGAGAAAAGGGCCAGGATGGGTTGAGCTGCACTGTAGAGAGCTTGGGGACTTGCACCCATAAGTCCCTCTTGGAGCAAAGCAGTGTAGGATTTCGTTGAGCACAGCACAGCACAAAGACAAACTGCACCAAACACAGCTGCAGAGGGGAACAAACACAGCCAGACCTGACTCCTGGAGGTTTATATGCCATTAGAGTGGTTATGGTTTAACCTTACCAGCAGCTGAGCCCACAGTCACTCACTCATTGCCCCTGCATTGAGATGAGGGAGAAAACTGAAGAGTAAAAGTGAGATTGAGATAAAGACAACAGGTAAAGCAAAAACTATGTGTGCAAGCAAAGAAAACAAGGAATTCACTCACCACTTCCCATCACAGGCATGTGTTCAGCCATCTCCAGGAAAGCAGGACTCCATCACATGTAATGGTTACTTGGGAAGACAAAAGCCATCACTCTGAATGTGCCCCTGCTTTCTTATTCTTCCCCTAGTTTTATAAACGTGCTCCCCTTTTTCTTCTTCCCTCAGCTTTACATGATGCTCACAACATCATCTGGTATGGAATATCATTGTAGCCAGCTGGGGTCAGCTGTCCCAGCTGTGTTCCCTCCCAACTCCTTGTGCACCCCCAGCCTACTCACTGGTGGGTGGTGTGAGGAGCAGATAAGGCCTCGTCTCTGTGCAAGCACTGAATTATCAACACTGTTTTCAGCACAAATACAAACCCTAGCCCCAGACCAATTACCTAACTCTACCTTAGCCAAAAGCAGCTATAAAGGTGTGCTATAAAAATTTAGTCACGTATAGCTCCATGTGATCCTCTGTCAGACATTGCCTTCAGCCCGAAGAAGGGGTGTATTAGGAATCACTTGAAGGAATCACTTGATTAGGAATCACTTGACTCTCAGACAGAGTCTGTGGCTCCAGACACAGTCACTGACTGCACTTGACCAGAGGTGAAACCTTCCCGCAGTCCTTATTTCTTATCTGGCCTGAGTGAAGTGCTCTGAAACAGTTTAAGAATCACTGGCTGCCCTCAGGGAATGAGGGTGTTCAGAGCACAGGACCTCAAGCATTGTAATTCCTCCTACCAAAAGCTTCGTCTTGGAACCTCCCCTTACTTTTTTTTTATCAGAACATAAACACAGAGGCAGCAACACAAGCGCACAAACACTACTGAGGGGGACGCAGAATTCATTCAGGCTCTCCTATCTCCAAAGACCCCTTCTACAGTCAGCCCAGCACAGCTGTGTCCCCAGACTTTGTACGTTTGTGTAATTTGCATTAAATGTACTGGTCTAATTCTCCTACCTACAAACTCATTCTCCATCCTAGCCCAAGGCAAAAGTACAGACTACATCAGGGACAGCCAATACACACACAAGGCTCAGGGAGAAGGTAGGAATACAGCCTTCTGAAACTTGCTTGAGATAGTCCCTTGGCTTCATTTCTTTGTTACCTGTTTATTTTTTTACTTTCTCTGTGTTATTCCAAACCTGTTACTTGCAAGACAGAATTGATGCTCTATTGCTTTAGTAAACAGTTTCAGGAAGGCAGTTTAGTATGGCTTTAGTGGTGCAGCATCAGTAGCATAAAAGTAGTACCAGCATTAATCAGATTTACAGGAATAAGCCTTTGAGTTCTGATTGCAGAGCAAAATTTGAATTACCCGTAGAAATTAAGTTTTGCCAGATAATCTGGAATCCTTTAGCTACCCCATGTCCAGATATCACAACACAGGATGAGGAAAAGCAGCTTGTGAGGGAAACATGCTCATGTTCGATTCAAAGAAATCACTCCAGAGTGCGTACTGTAAAGCAAAGCACAAACAGTTCTTGGTGCTGGGAGCACATGGGGGTTCAAACCTCCATACACGTGTCCAAAGAACAGTACATCTTAGGGGTTCTTTCATACCTACTTTTCATCTTGATACAATTTTATCTAAAGCATACATTCGTACAATTTGGTAAGTTACATAACTTGTGGTTTTATCCTATTGTGTACTTGGTTAGGGCTAAAATGATAGTCTATATAGATTAGTATTAATCAGGATTCTTACAGCTGTTTACCTTTTAGCTTAGTGTTATTTACTGCTAATGCCTGTGAGCTACATGCTTGGTTCTTCCTTCAAATTATTATATTTTGCCAATAGGGATGTCCCTGCTTATAAGCAGATGTAAGCAGATGAAAGGCTGCCTATGTACCTGTGTTCTAACTTATTGCATATGAGGCCCTAGCAGGAGGGCAGGGCCTTACTTGCAGATGGGTTTCTATTAAGCATGTGCAGTAGTATTTTTAATGCTGAGTCATACTCACGCTAAATAGCAAAGTTAAGTCAACTAAGGTCTAATGACTTGGTCTTAATAGGAGATTCAGAAGAGATGAAGACAAACAAATACAAGGTGAGATTTTTTTTAATTCTCCCCATTAGTTAAGTTGAAGACATGCCCAAAAATTAAAACACTTTTTTTTTTAGAAGCCTGATAACACATAGTCCAGGATAAGAATAGGGCTTCAGGCACTGTTGTCACTGTATTACAGATAATCTTTAGAGGCTTTCATCCCCTAAGGTGTTAAAGGCATCTATTGCACTAAAAAATTCCCATCCTCGGGGAGAGATGTGGGGTGGGAGGAGCAGAAGGACAGCTGTGCAGAGTCGCCCCCAGCAGACAGGCCAGCCCCAGCCACGGGGATGCTCCTGCTTTTTCTTGTGAATGACTGGGAATTCATCTGCCAAAACAAGCCAGGGGTTGGTTTTGCTCCGTGTGACAGGGGAGCAGCACTATAAAAGTAAAATCAGCTCAGAGGTGCTAGCCCTGATGTGTTTTCAGCCTGGCCAGGGAGAACCTACCTCTTCTGCCTGTGGATAAAAAGGGCAAGCGGAAATGCAGATTCACTTTGAGGAGAAATCTCTGGCTCACACACACTCTACTTGATCCATTTGTTCCCCCTCCCTGGGAGTCTCTCAGACTTCTAGTTTGGGATTCTGTTTTTCTTTTGTGGCCTCCTTACACCAATCAAGAAATGCATCCCACTAAAACTGGAGCACCTTAGGTCCTCTGGACTCCAGGGCATTCCCTAAGCTTAAAGCCTTCAATACAACCAACCATGTTTTTTTTCTTGGTCATAACATCTGGCATGAGCCCACCATGCTGGCCAAAGTCAGGGTCATTAGCAGCAGTAACAAAGAAGGACCTCAATGCCCAGCTCTGAAGGACTACCATTCATACAGATTCATTCGCACTGTAATTCCAACCTGGACCTTTCCTGACCTACCTCTCCTAGGGACTTTATCAATCTGTGATCATTCTTCCCTCTTTTAGATGGCTAGAGTGGGAATTCTCGGCAGGACTCTGGACTGATCTGTATCAAAAGCCGGGATTTAGCAGCTCCTGCACACTGCAGGAGCCAACAGACAACCCTTGGCTGAAGCCCCAGCAAGGAATTTCTAAAAGGTAAGAGGAAACAAAGTCACCTATACCTGTATACCTGTTACACCTACAAGGCCACAGGAATGCTCAAGGCTGCTCTGGGTTCTGCTTTCTTCAGTGCAAAACCTTACTTTTTGTGAAGGCTGCACTGTGATTATTGTTTCAGGAAACAGGGTGGAAGTTAAGTCAAGAGACCTACTCAGGTTCTACTTAGCTACACTTCGCAGCCCAAAAGCCAAGGCAGAGGGCAGATACCCCTGGCAGCATTCTTCCCTTGCCATAGCCTGAGCCCAAGCGCAGTGACATGCAGTTCTCCTCCCACACAGGGTACAACACAAGAAGAACCATGATAAGCAGCGAGCAACAAGCTGGGGAGTAATTCAAAGGCTCCGGCATCCCTGTTCCATCCCTGTGAAAAGTCTGGTCTCCAAGACTTTTCATGGTGAACATATGGATTACCGTAAGAAGGACCTGTCACTTTTTGTCTCTTTTGTTGTGATGTCAGGTTAGAACAACATGTCTGTGTCATATGCACTGGCCTTTGTCAACAAAGCTTGATCCAGAAGGGAAAGGCAGCACTTTTCTTCCATTCAGTTACCTCGGGGGTCATCATTAACTCACCATATTTAGAATGATGACAGGACTTTTAGCTAAAACTATTGTTTTTTCTTTTCAACATGCATAAATTATAAAGGGATAATTGTGCCTAAAGTTCCAATAGGAAACATTTTTCGTCTTAGTATAAAGATGCTTTCTCTACTTGTTTCTGACCTCACACTGGGAAGAAACCTCCTCCTTCCTTGCTTTCCTCAACGTGGAAATATTTTCCTCCTGTCCAAGGATCACCATAATTTTGCAAAAGTCAAAGGAACTGTAGGATAACAATCATAGAATAGTTAGGGTTGGAAAGGACCTTAAGATCATCAAGTTCCAACCCATAGGCAGGGACACCTCACACTAAACCACCTAACTGAAGGCTCTGTCCAACCTGCCCTTGACCACCACCAGGGATGGAGCATTCACAACCTCCCTGGGCAACCCATTCCAGTGCTTTACCACCCTTAAAGAACTCCC